TCTAACATTTTATGCTTAATATAAAAAAGAAAAAAAATGTGATTATTGATTTAGGGTTCTCAGAATTTAGAAAACTAAAAAATTGAGTAGTCGCCTCACGATTCTCTTTGGCTAAATCTGACTTTCAGTCTTTGGCTTTGTAACGATTCTCTTTCGTTATCTTCCATTTGCAAAGGTTCGTGAAGTTTTGGGTTTGGGTTCTTAGACAATTATATGTGCATATTCTCCCTAAATCCCCAATATCATGGATCCCTAGCTGCAAAGAGTAACTAATTATGTTGTGTTGCCTACTACAGGTTTTGAAGATAAGTTCCAAAAAGAATCTGGTTTGTGTTCATCAGCTATTCGTTCGGCACTAGTGAATATTTGAGGTATTTCTAATAGTTTTTTTAAAACATCGGAGTGCTTCAAATTAATCGATTTTATCACTTGAGTTTGAGAGAGCAGTATCGGTGAGGTTGTTTCAATTTTTGGATGAAGTTTTAAAAAATGAATCTCAAATAATTAAATAAAACTAATTTAATTTAACCTTTTTTTGATTATATGTCAGTTTAAAAAATTAATCAATTTCAAAATTAGCCGAATGTATATATACTGTAGGAAGAGTTGAAAGATTGAATGAGAAAAATTAGTTAGAGTTCGACTTTGCCTGTGACATAGCCTGTATTTGTAAACCAATAGTTTGACAGTGCAGTATTGTGTTGTGTGTGTTCGTTTCTAACAATTGTAAGCCAACTATTTTATTCAATGAATATTATCACCCATATTTTCTTATTGATCTAAATCTGATTATCTGATTGTATTGTTCTTATTTTTGTTGTTGTTTACTAGTTGTGTTCCATGTGTGTGGATTATTGTGTTGTGTTGTGTTATGTTGTGGTGATTTGCTGGTATTTGGCGTGGTGACTGGAAGTTCTAGGATTTAGTTAATGTAGTTTTATTCAATTTATTAACATACTAAATTACTAATTGACTTCCTTTGTTGTTTTCTTTTTTGTAGTACTAGAAGCAATTGATGAAGAAACTACTACCACTGTAGATTTTGGGGATGAAACTTGAGATGTTATCATTTTGTTGTACTTGTGTTATTTAAGTTATGTAATTTTAATGTTGGGAGTTTGAAAATTGATATGTTATTAACTTATTATGTGATGTTATTGTGTTATTTAATGTGTTATGTAACACAGGTTTCGGTTCCAGGTTTTAGGAATCGAAATCAAAACTGTCGATTCTGGTTCCAGTTCCGGTTCCAAATTAAAGGAACCAACCGGTTCTGGTTCCAGTTTCGGTTCCTTAAAAAAAAGGCAGGTACCCGGACCCGCCTACCTCTACCCAATACTTAGCCTAACGTTACAAGCTTAATGAATTCCTAATGATCTGAAGTCATGTGTTGCTCTGCATTAGTGGAGAGTGATCTGAAAAGTAGGCTTATGGAGTTGTGTTTTTAATGTTTTCTATTTTATGGGATCAAAATGATGTTTTCTTTTGGAGATTGCTATGAAACCACCTCTAAGGCTAGGATTAACGGTTTGTGGATTGACTGTGATGGAGAGTGGAGAACGAAGGTGAAATTGATTTTTAAGATGTTCTTAGATGTGGGTGATTATTGCTTATTCTTGTTGGTTTATATGTATGCAATGTATGAGACATATTTATTGATGTATCCAGGAAATCCATGTTTTGTACATATGTGTTAGGAATTGGTAGGATGTTTGTGGGTAGCATCGCTGAAAACCCTCACGAGACTATAACTCGTCCACTAGGGGGACTTAGGGGTTTAAAGACTTATTGCATACGCTAAATGCAACCGTGTCAACCTTTGGAAGTAGTTTAGCTAGGATAGATTAATTAGGATTAGACTTTATCACTTTCATTGATAGGGACTAGCAATAAGCTCGTAAGGGGTTATGTTGAGTGGTGAAAATGCAGATTTATTTTATGATTTAGGGGTGAAATTGTAAGGAATTCAATGTTTAACACATTATTTAGGATGAGTTTCCTTACTTGTTTTGTTATCTTCCAAAATCACAGGTTTTGTTGTGTTTTCAGGTAATTAGATGCAAAAAGATGGATTATTCGTGCTTGTGTTGGTGTTCAGACATCTTGGACCCATCGAGCGCAGATAAATCAAGGCGAGCGAAAAAAGAGTGAAATTCTGCAACTGAGCCGTAGCACACTTTTCTGAGTCGCGACATGAAGATGACGTAACTTGTATTGCGCTCCAACGAAGAATCATCAAGCCGCGACATAAAGTCGACGAAATCCAAACTACGCTGCAGTGCAATTTATCCATGCTGCAGCATGATAGGGTTTTTGTCGAAGGAAAAATCACTTGGAGTTGTGCCACAGCACAAATCAAATGCGCCAGGGCGCAAATCGCGATATTTGGAAAAACTCCACATTTTCAACCCTAATTTTTGCGACCAATATTTAAAATTTTACCATTTTGCCTAAAAACTATATAAATGCAACTTTAGTCTGATTTTCAGGATGATTAGCTTATATAAAACACTTTTGCAACTTTTGAGGCTTGGGAGAGAGTGATTGATTGTGTAAAGCTAAACCTTGATCATCTTGAGTGAATCTTGCATCCAAATGTGTAAGGGTGAGATCAAAGTTTGTTTTCTTGTATTTATAAGTAGCTAAACTCTTTCCTAGTGTATCCAATGTAATCTAATTAGACTACTTTATGTTTATTGTTAAATCAAATGTTTAATTGATCCAATGGTATCTTAGTTTCATTCACTTATGTTTATTGAGTTGATTAATCATTATTATTGCGTGATTGCCTTTGATTTACGGTTGGATGGTTGTATGAGTCAAGGTTAGGCTATACGCCACTAGCTAATCTTGAATATCTTTTGATCTTTGATCGTTGTTGTTGTTGTCTGACTGTGTTTAATAGTTGTTTGATTGACTATATGAGTTGGCGTTAGGCTATACGCCACTAGCAAATCTCAGATTGCTCTAATGAACGATTGATTTCTATTTGTGTGATGCCCTCGACAGGTGTGAGTTAGTTTGTGTTCGTTTTGGTACTTTTGTGCATAATTGGTTTTTGTTATTTAGATTAGGCTACACGCCACTAGCTAGTTTGGATTATGAAAACACTAGGTTGATTCGGTTGGCCACAGCACAACCTTATCTTGGTAAGTATCAACCCTAAGATTTGGATCGAGAAACATCGGTTAGATTAATAACATAAAGTAGGATAATTATGGTGAAATTAGATACACTAGACCATTTCTCATTGTTTGATCATTTGTTTATATCTCGTTTTTATCTTAGTTGTTATTTTAGTATTTATGTTATTCTTACTTGAATTTTAGTTAATTTGGATTTTATTAAATTGTTGGGTAACTTTACTATCTCACTTGATTTCATTATTTTAGTTGTTTTTGCAGAGTATTAGATTCATTGATAGCTTGACTCTTTGTGGGATCGACCCTTACTTGTGCAATTTACTGCAATAGCGACCTGTGCACTTGCGGAGTAATTAAAGTTGTTTTCAACCGAACACCTACCCATGACAAGCCAAGGCGACGCACTCGTGTGCGCAACCGACCAAGGTGTTGTGGCTGCAGGGCAACCCATTTTCAGGCTACTGGGATGTTGCCTATTTATACAGCAACAACCTGTTTATGGGAGCTTCCCCGTGTGCTTTGTGGAGGAAATCAAATGGAAAAGGCATTCTCACGTTGTTGCGAGAGAAGGTTTGAACTTTTTCGCCAAGCCACTATAAAATAGAGCAATCATTGTTGTTTTGGACTATCCAGTTCATGTTTTCACTGGACAAGGACTAAATTGCAAGTTTTATATGTTTAGGGACCAACATGAAATTCTACAAAATTAAAAGGGAATTTTACCTGGTAAATTCAAATCTAATTTTTTGAATGATATTCTATATCTGATTGATGTCTGGTTATGCATGGTGTTCAGTACTTGGCCATCGACCTTAGTTTTATTCTATTTAATTTGTTTATGGGATTGAATGCTTGTAATAAAATTTTATTAAATAGGACATGCGTGTCTTGCCTGTCTCTTTACTCTCAATGTAATTCTCTTCTCACCTATATCCCCTCGAATGCAACTCGAGGTTTATACTTTATTTGTTTTAATTAGAATATGTTTTATTAATTGAATATCATTGCTATAATAAAGATAAAGTGAAGGCGTTAGGCATGTCCTGAAGACTTTTATTTAGTTTTGAAAATTATTTGCATGAACCTAGGTTGTCCTATCAATTCCTCAAAGCTCGAGGAATTTGGTTTTAGATTGACCATGTAATAACACGTTTACTTTATTATCATAGAAAGCATGCTAAAGTTGAATGTTTTAACCTGTTGGACTATAACATCCTATTAAGATAATAAAAATGGTGAGACACTAAATTTAAACCCCTTGTTAAGATATTAAGTCATAAATAACCCGGTGCATTCCACCACTATGAGATTAATCAAACCACTATTTGTCATGGCCTTGTTCGACCCCACAAAGGGTGCACTTTTACCAGTGGGAGGTTGATCATTCATTGGAGTTTTCCTTAATAGTGATGGGTTAGACTTAACTAGGTGTATTTTGCTTGTTCGCCTCCTCGAAGGTTGATAAATACACAAAAGACATAGTAGAGTAGTGCATTTGATTAATGCACATTGTGACATGTAATGTTCAACTCGCTAATCCTTAAATTACACTTGAGGACAATGGCTGGTGCCATTGGATTATGTAATTCGTTTGTTAGCTTTGTTTACATTTGAGTTTAATAGAATGATGTAAACTAGAAGTTTGTTGACCAACCTAATCATTCTATTTTAGCTTGTTCGCTCCCGTGAAGTTTTGAAATAGAAATGATGGGATTTCAGCCCACTAGGGAGACCAACGAGCCTTCTCGAGTTTAATAGTAAGGGCTATTAAAGCTTGAGTAAAATAGTGGGAGTTATTAATTAATATAATATGATATCAACTCTGTTTATTTTGCAATATTGTATTCACACTTCATAATGACTGCGTCTACCCTATCACTACGATCTATCATTGAAAAAGATGAAAGGTTTGATAACACAAACTTCATTGACTGGTATCAAAATCTTAAGATTGTAATTAAATCAGAGAAGAAACTATACATCATTAATGAACCTGTTAAGGAAGTGCTTGAACCTAAGGCTACTCCAAAAGCAAGAGATACTTATCAAAAGTATCTCGATGATGCTGACATTATGCAGTGTTTGTTGTTGTCATCAATGACGTCTAATCTGCAAGAGCAACATCAGCATTTGGATGCTAGTTCTATCATAACAAATCTCAACGAACTCTTTCAGAATCGTGCTAGACACAAACGCTATGAGGCATCAAAGGCATTTTTTAGATGCCAAATATCTGACGGAGCCCAAGTTGGCCCACATGTAATCAAGATGATTGGTTACATCCAGAGGCTTGAGACTTTTGGTATTTTAATGGATGCAGAACTTTCCATGGACCTTATTCTAAAATCCTTGTCTGAATTCTTCTCCCAATTCATTTGAACTTCAATATGAATGCAATGAAGAAGTCTCTCTCAGAGCTTTTGAGTATGCTGAAAACAGCAGAGAAGGACATGAAGAAGTCTAAACCAACGTTGTTAGTTGCTACTGCACCTAGAAAGGGAAGGGGTAAACAAGGCAAAGGAAAGGCTAAGGCCAATCCTAGGTTTAAGCCTAAAACCCAAGATTTTCTAAAGCCTGGAAGCGTGAGCAAGGACGGGAAGGTGGTTTGCTTATACTGTGGTAAGCCTGGCCATTGGAGGAAACATTACAAGGCCTTTTTAGCAAACAAGAAGAGGAATTCTACATCTTCTAAAGGTAGGTATATGATTGAAAAAAATCTTTCTCATGTTACATCTTGGGTCATTGACATTGGATGTGGTTCTCATATTTGCACTTCTGTGTAAGGACTACGACAGAGTAGATCGCTCGATCGAGGAGAGATGGACCTTCAAGTTGGAAATAAAGCGCGAGTTGTTGCATTGGTCATAGAAATTTATTAATTGTTTCTACCTTCGGGCCTTCTATTAGCACTTTTGAATTGTTATTATGTGCCTTTAGTTTCAAAGAACATAATTTCTATGTCCGCTTTAGATAGTAATGGATATCAATTTTTTATTTCTAATGGATCGTTGTCTTTTAGTTTAAATGGTATTTATTATGGAACTACTAGATTACATAATGGTCTGTATATTCTAAATTTAATAATAATGAAATATCCAATCTTGAGAATAAGAAACCCAAGAATGGTGACTTTAATGAGACATATCTTTGGCATGGTAGGCTGGGTCATGTTAACCAAACTCGCATTGTAAAGCTCCACAAAGATGGAGTTTTGGACCCATTTGACTTCTAGTCTTATGAGGTATGCAAGTCATGACTATTAGGCAAAATGACCAAGTCACCTATCATTGGACATGCTACAGAATAGTTAGGCATCATCCATAGTGATGTATGTGCACTACTAATAGTACAAGCCAGAGGTGAGTATTCTTACTTCATCACTTTTACTGATGACTTCAGTAGATTTAGTTATTTCTACTTAATGAAAAATAAATTTGAGTCCTTTGACAAGTTCAAAGAATTTAAAAATGAACTACAGAATCAACTGGGCAAGAATATTAAGGTTTTCCTATCTAACGAGGGAGTAGAATACTTGAGCTCAGAGTTTGATACATAGCTGAAGGATTTTGGGATAGTATCTCAACTCACACCTCCTTATACATCTCAACACAATTAAGTGTCCAAAAGGAGGAACCGAACCTTGTTGGATATGATTCGATCTATGATGAGTTTTACAGATTTATCCACATTGTTCTAAGGCTAATCCCCTAAAGGCTGTGACTTATACACTGAATTATGTACCATTAAAGTCTGTAAATAAGACACCATATGAACCATGGAATGGATGAAAAACTCATTTTGTCTTATCTAAGAGTTTGGGGTTGTGATGCTTATGTCAAGAAATTGACTTCAAACAAGCTTGCCACAAAATCTGAAAAATGCAATTTTGTGGGGTGTCCTAAAGAAACTAAAGGATACTACTTCTATCATCCAGTTGAACACAAAGTTTTCATTGCTCATACTGGGGTCTTCTTGGAGAATGAATTCCTTCTAAGAGGAGATAATAGGAGGAAAATAAAACTGGATGAAGTTCTGAATTCACAATGATGTAATAGACGATGTACAGAAAGATGTGTCACCTGAAGTGGTTGAACTGAAGGTGGAAAAGCAACCCGCCCGGCCCGGCCCGACCCGACCCAGCCCGCGGCGGGTTGCTGCAAATGATGGGTCGATCCTGACCCGCCCGGTGACATTGGTGGGCCGGGTTAGGCTTGCCAATATTAGAGAATTTGCTGGCCCAACCCGGACCGCCAACCCTAACCCACCGGGTTAGGTGCGGGTTGGGCTGGGTTAACCCGCTTTTTGATTTTTTTTTTTTTAATTTTGTTTTGTTTTATTTTGTTTAAGTTTAATTGTTTAATTAACTTTTCAAATGAATAATTAACAATTTATAAATGTAATTGTTTTTAGTTAATTGTTAATTTCTTTTCAAATATCAATAATTAAATTAATTTTTTTTTTTGTAACATTCATCCAAATATTAATTCAATTTTATACATTAAAATTGTAATATAAGAATATTAAATTTATTCATTTATTAAAATAAAAATAAGAAATACAATAATTATTGCCTCTTTAAAACCTCACCAAGAAAAACCCAATAGACAAAAACTTGGTAAGAAAAAGAGTGCAATAATTGATAATTAATTTATAAGTTACAATTTACAAAACAACTAATTTTGGGGTTCACTAGGACCTCCCTCATCCGTATCATCTATATTACAAAATTGAAATGATTCTATTAAAGTATCGTCGACAACCTCGTATTGACCTTGATGGCCGACCGTTCCCATCTCAAAGACATTGAGGACTTCAATCATTTGTGGTGTAAGTTTAGTCCCCTTTCATTTAATTTAATTCTCCGCTTGCACAAATGTTTGTTCGATGAGATGGTTGAGACAGGACACGAAAACATCCAAGGCAAGTCTTGAAATACCGGAAAAATACATTTTCTGGCTCTACATAGTCTAAAGAGATCAATGTTGGCTCTCTGTTGTGGACTACTGGTAACATTTCAGGGGTTGCCAAATATTGTTGAAGCTCATTACTCTGCGACTGCATGAAAGACAGTACATTAGTTGTTGTTGTTGTTGTTGTGTGGTGGTGGAGCCTCTGAAGAGGAGGTTGTGCTTCGGATTCGGGTCCTCCTCGGCCTATTCATTGCACCCCAAGAGTAAAAGTCTTCATTTGTTTCTTCTGATGCAGCTTCCCTGGATGTTTCGCCTCTTTGCGGTTCCCATACCTGTTTTCATACTGGAAATTTACTTCGAAAAGTGTATTTTTTGCCTCTCCTATTTGATTGGCATATGCTTCGATTTGTATTTTCACATAAATTGTCAAAACCATTTTCTAAACCTGCTAATTTAATTCTAGGATCAAATATAGCACCTAAACAATAAAGAAAGAAATGGTTTCCCAATATTTTTAAAAAAAAATTTCCGTTGCCTTTATTGGTGCATTTAAAATTACATTGTCTTTGTTTTTTATAATAACTTGGAAATTTTTATAATTGTATTGTATTACTAATGGACTAGTAGGAAATACACACCAGAAAGTTGTAAAGTGGATTGGTAAAGTTTTAAGAAAAAATGAAATATTTTACTATTTGCCAATCATTTTCTACCAATAATGAGGACCTCTATTATTTGCTACAAAAAACTAATTATATTAGCATAGGTAACATGAATCAAGCTTAAATAAGTACTATTCCATCTAACATGCATGTCTAATGCAAAAGTTCTAGGAGACATATTTGATTTTATACAAGCGTCTTGAAATTCAGCATTTTTTTTTTATACGAGTAATCCAAGCTAAACACTCTTAATTCTATAATATTTTCTTTAATTGTTTTCATACCACTTTTCACAATTAAATTAATAACATGACATGCACAAAGTTGGTGAAAAAACTTCAAATTGTTATATAAAGGATAATTACTTTGAAAATAATCTATACTTACTATTAGAACTTGCATTATCTAAAGTTAAACTTATCACTTTACTAACAACATCATAATCTTCTAAAACTTCAACAATTTTATTATAAATTTGTTCACCACTATGATCAACATCATTAATCTAAATCCTAATAAGATTTATTTAATTTACATTCATTATCGAAAATGACTAGTCACACAAAATAATCTTGTTTAGCTCTACCACTCCAATATCGACAGTTAGAGCCACACTAACTGATAAGTATGTATTTTATTTTTTAATTCTAATTTCATTTTTTTAAACAATTTATTAAATCATTTCTAGTTGAAGTTTTAGAATAACTTTTAAATCCGGAAAAATGAATTTTGAACAAATATTTCAAAATATTTATCTTCAGCCATATTAATAGGTTGATCAGTTGCAGCAATATATAAGTTAACTGTTCCCTATCTACATCAAAACTATAACGCCATTAGTACCCATATTAGTTTTTGAGTTTGATTGCTTTCTCTATTTCCATGTTGATTAATATGTTTATTAGCATGCCTTTTTAAAGTACTATTACCATTACCTGAATCAGCTTTATAAATATTTCCACAGTATTTGCATCTCGCTTTCTTGACTTGAACCCATTTTCTGTCTCATAAAACTTGTCGAAATGCGCCCAAACGTCTTATGTGTGTCTGTCTTCGCTTCCGATGCAGTTGATGATCCCGCCTCAGCTTGAGATGATGTTGGACGAGCACGACGTTACGAGATGACTTCTAGAACCACCAGGAGCTGTTGAAATCGGGGCATAGTTGAGGTGTATCGGATTCTGAGAATGGGAAAGCGGGCTATTTGAATCTCCTCCTGCATTTATGTTAGTAAAATCAACGGGACTAGGACTAGGATTAGTTTCCGTCATCATTGTAATTGATGGAGAGAATATCTATCCTTTGTAGTTGAAAAAAAAAATTGATGTTGAAGAAATAAATAAAGAAAGAGAATTGGAATATGGAAATTGGATTTGGAAAATTGGAAATATGAATTAAAAATTGCAAAACTAATAAAAATTAAAATACAGCAAATTGCAAAACTAATAAATGAATAATTGAGAGATTAGAGATTAAGAATATGAGAGAATGTAGTTATGAGAAAAATGTGAGAGTTTAGGGCTAATTTATAGAAAAAAGGGAAAGAAAAATGACGAAAAAGACCCCTCCAACGGCTATATTTCAAGGATAAAGGGGTATTTGTAAAATAAATAAAATTTTTTTTTAATTTTTTTCAGCCAACCCGCTGTTGCAACCCGACGGTTGGGTTAGCCGTTACAACCCGTCGGGTTGCAACAGCCAACCTGACAGGTTGTCGAGTCTCTTGCAAAGAGACAAAACAGCAACCCGCCGGGTTACAGGTTGCCATTGTGCAACCCGGCCCGCCCGGGTTGCTGTGGGTTTAACCGCATTTTTACGGGCCGGGTTAGGGTTGACCGCCTAACCCGCCCCAATTTTCCACCTCTAGGTTGAACATCGTGAGGAGATCACTCCACAAACTGGGGAACAAAGTAACCACTTCTAACAACACAAAAGCTGTATGATGTGGAAAGTACATCACGAGCCTGAGAGATATGATTTTCTCGTGACTTAGAAATGACGTATTGGTCTTCAAACAATGAACCTAAACCTACGATATGCTATGTTGGATCCAATTCCACAAATGGTTGGAAGCCAGAAATTTGAGATGGATTTTGGTGGATCCACCTGAAGGGTAAAACCCAAAGGGTAAATGGGTCTTCAAGAAGACTGACATGGATGGTAACGTGCAAACCTTAAACCACGGCTGATTGCTTAAGGTTTAGACAAAAACATGGCATGACTATGATGAAACCTTTTCTCCAATTACGATGTTAAATTCCATCCAGATTATGCTTACGATTGCTGCATACCATGACTACAAGATTTGGCAGATGGATGTCAAAACTGCTTTCCTAAACGGAACCTTGCAAAGGACGTATGTATGATGCAACCCCGATCATTTTGTTCTTGATGGACAAGCAGAAAAGGTATGCAAGTTGCAGAGATTCATTTATGGACTTAAGCAAGCATCTAAGAGCTGGAACATTCATTTCGATGAAGCCATTAAGGAATTCGGATTCATAAAAAACGAAGACGAACCTTGTGTATTTTATAAGAAATTCAGTGGGAGTGTAGTTGCATTCCTAGTATTATATGTCAATGACATACTAATCATTGGGAATGATGTATTGAACTTGCAACTGGTAAAGACTTGGTTATCCAAGTGCTTCTCCATGAAAGACTTAGGAGAAACAGCCTACATCCTCGGTGTTAAGATCTATCTTGATAGATCTTGTATGTTGTTTGGCCTAATTTAGAATACGTATATAGACAAAGTATTGAAGAGATTCAATATGAAAGAATCCAAGAAATGATTTCTTCCGATGTCACATGGTGTATATCTCTCAAAGAACATGTGTCCTATGACACAAAAAGAGAGAGATAAGATGAGTAGAATCCCATATGCCTCGGCAATAGGATCTATCATATACATTATGTTGTGTACTCGGATTGATGTCTCATGTGCCTTAAGCATTTGCAGTAGATATCAATCAGATCCTGGTGAACAACACTGGACAGCTATCAAGAATATCCTTAAGTACCTGAAAATGACTAAGGATGCATTCTTGGTTTGTGGAGGGGAAGATGAGCTCACTGTAAGAGGATAAAGTGATGCTAGTTTCTAGACTGACAATGATGATTTTCAATCATAGTTAGGGTATGTGTTTGGTCTAAATGGAGCCGCAGTGAGGTGGAAAAGTTCAAAACAAAGCACCATGGCGGATTCTACAACAGAAATTGAGTACATAGCATTATTTGATGCGACTAAAGAGGCAGTTTGGATCAAGAAGTTCATTTCAGAACTTGAAGTGGTTCCAAGCATTATTGATCTGGTAGAGCTTTAGTGTGACAACAATGGTGTTATAGCTCAGGCTAAGGAACTGCAATCTCACCAACAATCCAAACATATACTCAGATGATACCATCTGATCACAGAATTTGTTCAGAGGGGTGATGTGCAAATTTACACCTATCGATGACAATGTAGCATACCCATAAAGGAAAGCTCTGTCACAGTAGAAGCATGATAAGCACTTAAAATCATTTGGTATTAAATACATAAATTATTGGCTATAATGCAAGCGAGAGATTGTTAGGATATGTACACTAGAGCCAATAATATTAGACTCTTGTAATATTATATTGAATATTAATAAAGGCATAAATTCTATATCATGGTATTTGTTTATATATGTGTGTGTGTGTGTGTGTGTGTCCTTAGAAGGGTTGAACTATGACGAGGGAATGAAGTGTTTCAAATATTAATTGTGACGACCCTATGATCACATATGGTGGTCATTCTAGAATCGTCCATAGCCTAGTATTAATTTGACCAAGGACATAGATTATGTAGTAAGGCTATCATAGTGTTGAATGGCCCTACCGAAAGGTAATAACAGTTCTCACATGTTAAGGTTGTTTGGTGACAACCTGATGTGACACATGGGTACTTATTATTGACAAGTTCACTAGACTAACCCACCAGAGGATTCTATATAGATGGTAACCCCAATGTTTATGGAATATATCCTCTAACTGATGGTGGTACATGTGATCCTTGGACTTGAGATCACTAGAGTGTCGTGTGTAAATATTAGTATAATTTGACAAGCCTAACGTAATCTTATTTAGAGTTATCATATCCTCTAACGGATGGTGGTGCATGCGATCCTTGGACTTGAGATCACTAGAGCGACGTGTGTAATTATTAGTATAATTTGACATTAGCCTAATGTAGTCTTATTTGGAGTTATCAATACGATAATGGTTGGTTACATCAAGAAGTACACTATGGATATGATGGACCGACAAATGATTCATCACTCCTATGTACAGGAGAAATTATCTCGCTAAGCTATTCATTTAGTAACAGTGATCACAAATCTGTGGCCACAATGGAATTAAGTTGGCGCTCAAATCCAATTTTATTTGGTTGTTGATTTGATAACCGAATGCAAATGTATCAAGGTAAAATGATTGAAGTTGACACTACTTCTGTACTTCAAACCTAATGAGATAAATGATAAAAAAGGGATTTAAATTGCACGGTAACCATATTGTTGAAAGGTAGCAACTTTGTTGAATCTCTGTTTGTTTGGTAATTATGATGCTTTGCTAGAGGCCAATCTTAATTAGTGTACAGATATCTAATTAGTTGATGCTTAATTATGAATCCGGTTACTACCAACATAATAAAGAACCCATGGGTCACACAAGGAGAATAACGAAATGAAGGGTAATTTTTTCTTTTGGATGAAATGGGTGTTTTGGTAATTTTGTAATGCGATTAAATTTGCTAGGGTTGTTGGCAATATTCAATATTTATATTGAAGTTATTTTAGCAAAATTGTAAATATATTAATATTAATATTAATATGGAATATAATTAATTAATTTAAATATACTTAAATACCATAATTAAATATATGAATAAATATATATTTATATATTTATTTAGATTATATTTAATAGGAATGCTATTTCAAATAGGAATAGAAATATTCCTATTTTAAATGAGGGATATTTTATCCCTCACTATATAAAGGAGGAAATAGAAGATTTTATCATATATATATATATATATAATTCATATTATTCTCTCTCCTAAAAAACCCTAGCCACCGCCCCTTGCAAAGAGAAGAGTTTTTCTCTCATTTTCGTATTCTATCTTAGGGCAAACCAATTAATCTAGCAGTTAATTTGTTTGTGATTCCCGTCCTGCTTTTGTGTGGATACTGTCTTGTTCAATTTTGCCTTGAATCGATTTGCGAAGGCCAAATCCGAATCCGTTTGAAGGAGCCACCAATGCAGGTATTGAATTAATCCTTGTATGATTAATTAGGTTTTATTAATAGGTAGTATTATATCAATCCTGATCATGGGAATTGGGTTAAACTGAATAAATTTCTTCGCTTTATTCCACCTTTATTCAATCGAAAACCCTACACATACACTAAATGCAATTGTGACAATCTACGGAAGAGATTTAGGTTAACGTAGGAATAGATTTTATTTTGTTTTTTATTCTTAATTTAGAGGACATCTTTAGATCTCTTAGATTGCTAGGAACTAGCAATAAGCTAGTTGAGAGTTGTGATAAGTGCTTGAAAAAACACTTATACTTAGTGATTTGTCAGTATCCTTTGTGGAAAATTAGGTTTAATTTGTATAATTTAACATAATTGTTTATAAATGTGTTTTTGGGAATCACGGGTATGTTTGGTGTATTTTCATATCATAGGTGCTTAAAAAATAATATTTGGGTGAAGAATAATGTCGGCGAGGAAATTTTTGATGGCTAAGAACAAATAGTTTGTGAATCAAAGTTGAAACGAGGAAGCTATGGCATTTCAAGTATCATTGGTCATGCTGAGTCAAGTTCAGCCAGCTCGCACATGTGCACACGAGTTTGAGACAAAAAGGGGTGGTGCAACATTCAAAACCTTGCATCGCAGTGGTGATGGCTCGAGTTTGTATCAGATATGAAAAAGGACAAGCGTCGCGTCATTACAAATTGCACATTGCGGCAGTGAGGCTACAGGTGTGTAAACAGAATAAGACGGACGTGGCATCAAAAAAGGAACGTTACTGCCCGCGTGGAGGAATCTGAAATGTAGGTGTTTTCTGATAAGTTTTATTCCAATTTTCTTAGTTTAATTCACCTATAATTGTTTCAAAAGTACCCCTAAAACGCTAGCACTATAAATAGATGTCTTTAGCAATTTTTAGAAAAAGAAGGAATTGTGGTACAAAGGAGGAGACAAAAGAATAAAGAAAGGAAGGAAGCAATTCGGAAGTCTTGCAGCAACACCATCGATCAACCCAATTTACCTAAGCTTTTCCACTCTCTTCTATTGTTTGTTCTCATGAATACTATTCTAGATTTATTATTTTCTATGGATAACTAATTTTCCTGTGATTGGGGGTGATTTCAAAGCTCTATACATGTTTTGGGATAATTTATAGAATCTGCAATTTCCTTTCTTACTACTTCTTTTGATTATGTGTTTTATTCTCTATTATTAATGCCTTAATAAATTCTCTTGATTATTTAAGTGCATAATCTAATGATTGAGTTAATCTATTATTACCAATTTGGATTATTAAGCACGAAATCGTTTAATTAATCTAGACGTCTAGTGGTAAATTGCTTACAATAGAAATAAACACTCAAGATAACTAAACTAAACCTGTGAGTTTAGCCTTGATTCAGTATGTTTTTTGTCTCTTAATGTACCAAGATGAATGTTTCGTGTAATTAATTTGTTCAAAATTCTGCTTGAAAACAAGTTTTTGGTGTTGGGTTTTGAAGTTACGGGAGGTCCATTGGGAAACTCTGTAAAACTGTTATTGAAAATTACGAATAAATACTTTTAAGATATCAACTTGAAATGCTTTTGACTTCAGGAAGAAATGTTTTGGATATGAATTTGTATGTTGAAGCCAGAAGGGTATTTGGCTTTGAGTAGGTTTGAAGGGTTGGGCATGGGAGTTGAGGGTGAATCTTAATAATAAAAACGAAATGAGAAGCCAAAATGAAAAATAGTGGCAGCTTTTGAAAGTTAGAAAAGTATTATGAGCCTCTTCCTCTTGGAAGGTCCAAAAGGACGAACATTAATCGAACAAATAAACAAGGGCAATGCTATATGTACTAACCATTTATACTAATCCAAGTACTAATATTGAAAATTTGAAATTTCCCTCCTAAAAAAAGAAAATTCAAATTTTCTATGTTAGTACTTGAATTAGTACAAAATGGTTAGTGTACATAATATTATTGAATAAACAATCACCAGTGGCACATGATAGTCATGTGTCCCTAATATTACAAATTTGTCCATTCCAAACATCCCATCCTGCCTAACATAAAAGTCACTCTTTCCTATTTCTAAACCAGTAATACTACACTTACCGATTAAGCTATCGATTTTTACATACCGACCCACCTGCCCAATTACCCAAATCTCAAAATTTAACTCAATCAGTATGTCAAATCAGTAGTTTAATCGGTAACTCAAGCATCATTGTTTCTAAACATATCTATTACCAAACTTCCCTTTCATACCTTCGCCTCATCACGAAAGAGCTAAATTCATAATATTCACTAATCAAATATCATTATAGAGGTAATAGTAAAGTATCTTAATGACATAAAATATCAAAATTCATAAAACATAAAGCCAAATTAATGATATAAATCATTCGGTGACGTAACATTTGTATATAAAGGATTGATCTTAATTTATGTTCTAAAAATATAAGATTTTTGATGTATTAATGTATTGGAATTAAACTTTTAAATAAGTTACATTGATATTATACAAAGTGTTATTTTCTTGTAACTTACTACATATACCTTTAGAATATATATGAAGACTAGTCCAAAATAAGGCTTTGGATTGAAAAAAAAAAAGTTCCATATTAGCAATCCATCCTTATTTAATAGTAAATTTCATGATACCACTGGGTGCCTTATTTAGTTTTACTATGTTCAAAATTGTTTTCAATACTCTAAAAAGAGACTATAAATACTTCTTCAAATATCCCTTCTTAACGGAGTTTCAGTTAATTATGTCTAGGTCTTGTATTTTAAAATACTAGGATTTACTCTCTGAAGTTTAATAAATGTTAATATAGTCGATTAATTGGAAGGGTTTCTATTGTTTATAAAGCAAAACCCCTTATTTGGATATTTTCCAAGTTCTAAAAGCTTTAAATCTACCCCTAATTGTCTACTTTTCTTAGTATTTTCTACAATCAGGGGGGTATACATATATCCCAATACTTTAAATTGCAAAACTTAGTAATGCACCTAAACCCCAGGGGGATAAATATAATTAACTCCACAACCCGCATAACATACCTTATTAGTCTTATATCGTAACAATAATTTTTATTTTTAAACAGAGTTAATTGTGTTTCTATTTAATATATCACTAAATAACAATTTTCTCCCTCAAGTATTGGAAATACCAATTATGTTGGTATCATTAGTGTTGATATCAAACTCTCACATCGGCTCAAAGACGCGAGTCTTGGTTGCTTATCTAGCATAAGGATACTCTCATCACCCAAATGCGTCATTTCAAGACAAAATTGTGCAAGTTTTTAGCAATCCAACGTGTGGCCCAAAGCAGACAATACTTCTGAGAACCCACTTATTATGAGACTAGAGACAGCATAACAACAAATGATGCTAAAAGGAGGGTCCGAGTTTTCCTGGGCTGAGCATGCCGGTTTGCACCCACGTAAACCTCTCAAGCCCCTCGTTTGGGGAGTTGCGTTGATGTCTAACTCTCACATTGGCTAAGAGATGAGGGTCTTGATCGCTTATCTAGCACAAAGACACTCTTACTATTCAGAAGCACTTTTTCTAGATAAAACTGTACAGGTCTATCAACAATCTAACTTCTGGTCCAAAGAAGACAATATTTCTTGAAACAATAATAAGTATTCCTTAGACTTTTACAGTTCAATTTCACGAATATGGAAAAATGTCAGTGGGTAACGAAAATCTTAATAAAACCGATATGGGGTAAATTATTATTTCTCATTATTATCTTCACCCATCTAATCAAACAAAGTTTATAGCATCGTTGCTTTGGTTCAAATCAATTGCAATTTAAAGAGACGGTTCTAAACTGGAAACAAGTAACATCAAGGCATGCCAATTGCTAATATTAAATGAAAAGTCTGATTTGTTCTTCTTCTTGGAGAAATTCTGATCCGTCAAAATAAAGCATTAATAATTCAACTTTGACAAGTGTTTTAACAACTAGTATTAATGTGACACCTTATTTCATTATGGAAGCCAGGTGTCTGTCTTTTTCAATCAGATTTTTTTTATTTTGGTTCTGATTCAATTAAACTGTCTTTTGTGTTCAATTGCTGCAAACAAACTAGCGGCTGAGAATTTGCAGAAGCTGAATGCATTTCATGTGATGTTTACATCGATCTCATTGGGGTCTGGAATCTGCAGGCTTTCATATTATATCATTCTTTATAAATATTAACATACAGATAGGTTTTTATAAATCATTGGAGAGATTTTTCTCAGGGAAAATCTATCATGATATTTTTTTATTAATTTCAGGTAAAATCTATGATGTTTCTCCCATCATGGCATTGTACAAAAATAATAATAAGAACCGAAATTTGTGGTGGCGGTGTTCTGGTTTTCTGGGTATCTTCGGAGAACCCAAAAAAAAAGAATCCAACAACTACAATTCATATGTTAATATTCAATAATGGTGGATTTGTCAAATTTCAGATTATAACAGCTTGGATAGAGAAATTTGACATAATAATTGTTCAAATTTCATATAATTTAGTCGAATTCTTCAAAAAAAATTATATACCCTTCACAAATTAAAACAAATGTAGTTCAAGTAGAGAAAATTTTCCCTAAAAATTGAAGAAAAAATCGTTGATTAAAAATGTTATAAAAAAAATTCTCAAAAAAATTTACTATATATAAAATTTTCACTAGAAATTATTTCAAATACTTTTTTTTTAATGTTAACAAAACCTTTTAATCTCCTTTGATCAAGAGCTATTAATGTACATAATATTTCTTAATCATTTTTAAATAAATACTAAAAAATAAAATATTTATTTTAAAATGTAGAGAATAGACATATTAATTTTATATACATAAACCTAATTACCAAAAATACCCCTAATCATAATAAATTTACAGTAAAATAAAAATATTAAAAGTGCTCTTATGATTTATTATATTTAAAATATTTTTTAATTAATTTAGTAAGTTCCCAGCCGCCGAAATGCAGTGCTAGTCACCCAATTCTGGCCGTTTGAAATTTTTTTGGCCAGATAAGACAACATTATTGGTATCTAAATACAATTTTTTATTTAATTTATTTATTAATATAAGTTTCCATTTTATATAATTTCTTAAATTTTTATTTAATTATATGCATATTATCTACTATATATAAATATTAAATAATTTAATACTAACCTGTAATTAAGGGATATTAACCTATAATAAGGATAATTAATAGAAATGATTTATAGTTCCTAAGCTAAAGTAATGATTTAGTGAAAATAATTATATCCTAGTTCCTGAATTTGCTCTCAATAGATGAGAGGACAAATTGGTAAAATACATATATGGAATTTTTTTGATTTAAAAAACAACATTTTTTAATATTAATAATTTGCCAGTTACGGGACTAAAATTTAATAACGGATACCAAAGTGTCATTTGAATCAAATCTCAGGGTGATATTGTTATTATCCCTCATGCAAGTTTACCAACCGATCAACTTGCTATTGTTGTTACAGCCGACAACCTTACTTTAATTTCACTTTCCTAAATTGCTCCAAACTCAAACATCAAACATATATCATATTTGGCCTCCTCAGATATTTTATTACCACAAACACCAACGGTGAAAACGAATAAATTATACCAAATTTTGACAAAAACATTACAAAGGCGAAGCTGTCAGTAGCTTACTTCTGTCTTTTCACTCAACACAGCCATCGCCAGCCCATACTTCCTCCCTCCTTCCCTTCTTCACTATAAATTCTCACCTTCCCCTCCTTCTCCCTCACCAAATTTTCATTTCCTTCTCCCAATCTACCAACATTTTACTTCCAATTCTTACTCATTTCTAAACACTATGATCTCTTCAATTAAGAACACTCCATCTCCATGTTTTGCTTCTCCAGATTTCTTGCCCAAGAAACGTTTTTTACCCACAAGACTAAATTTTTCTCCACTACCAATCATCCAAAATTCCACCTTTAACAACTCCTTCTCTGCAGACAAACCTCTTCACATTTCTTCTACTGACAACTTCACATTTTCACCAAAACAGCTCAAAACGCAGTGCAATGCTTATGAAGCAGACAGGTCTCGCCCTCTGGACTTGAACATCGAGGTTCTTGAAGAGCAGACTCGATTTGAGGCTTCCCACAAAATCAAGATTGGCATTTACTTCGCTGCTTGGTGGGCGTTGAATGTGGTCTTCAATATTTATAACAAGAAAGTGTTGAATGCGTTTCCTTATCCTTGGCTTACTTCTACGCTTTCCCTGGCCTGTGGCTCTCTCATGATGTTGATTTCTTGGGCTACCAGGATTGCTGACGCCCCTAAAACTGATCTCGACTTTTGGAAGACTCTATTTCCCGTGAGTTTTTTCTCTCTTTGATCCTATGATTTCTTGGTTTCAGAGTTTTCTTGCTATATTTTACTTTCTGCCCATTTGAAATGCCAAAAAGTTTCAATTATAGTTGAGGCCAATTTTGTTTCTATTTTTGATGATTAAGAATTATGCTTTGTTTGGTTGTCCCAGAAAGTGTAAAATGACAAGAAATTATTAGCTTGAATACTAACTGGTAATAAGATATATTATGAAGATGAAACTTGTAGTATTTTTTACGCAATTGAGATTAATAGTACTTGTTCTTGGTGAATTTTGTGTGTAGGTTGCAGTGGCCCATACAATTGGGCATGTAGCAGCAACGGTGAGTATGTCGAAAGTTGCAGTTTCATTCACCCATATCATCAAGAGTGGTGAGCCTGCTTTCAGTGTTTTGGTTTCAAGGTTCTTATTGGGTGAGGCGTTTCCTTTGGCGGTTTATGCGTCACTTTTGCCCATTATTGGAGGCTGTGCGCTTGCAGCTGTCACAGAGCTCAATTTTAACTTGACAGGTGAGAAGAATGGTATAGTTTAGTTGTTGAAATAAGTTTTTGTATTAGATTGCTGACTGAACTTGGTCTGACTAGGATTTATGGGAGCTATGATATCGAATTTGGCATTCGTGTTTCGTAACATCTTCTCAAAGAAAGGGATGAAGGGAAACTCAGTTAGTGGAATGAACTACTATGCTTGTTTATCCATGATGTCTCTTTTGATTCTCACACCATTTGCACTTGCTGTGGAGGGCCCTCATATGTGGGCTGTTGGCTGGCAAACTGCTCTTGCTCAAATCGGACCAAATTTCGTTTGGTAAATACTCTTTTTTTACCTTGGATTTGCTTTCACAATTCAAAAGTGGACTTAAAATTTCATAATTAGCTGTTATTTTCCCTGATTTGGTTGGTTTCAAATTAACGAAGTAGCATTAGAATTATGAAATGGTTGCTAAAATAAAAAATTTGTGTCGGTGTCAATTGACACAGGTGGGTAGCGGCTCAGAGCATCTTCTATCACTTGTATAATCAGGTTTCATATATGTCACTGGATCAGATATCACCCTTGACATTCAGCATTGGAAACACAATGAAGCGAATATCCGTGATAGTATCCTCCATCATCATTTTCCATACGCCTGTCCGACCCATCAATGCTCTTGGAGCTGCCATCGCAATTCTTGGCACCTTCCTCTATTCACAGGTAAAATATATCATCTCTTTCTACTTAAAAAGAGTCATTTATATTTATTCCTGGACCATTTGACATGCTGTATGCGGATGCATTTAGTTTTTTGTTTGAAAATTTTTGTAATGTCCACTTGTATGAATGGTGACAAAAACCCCTTCAATCTTGTTTAGGGCCAGTTCATGAAATGGGTCCTGGAGTTGAATGGTTTAGGCGACTAACATTGTGATATCTTTTTATTGAGCAGGCGAAAATGTGAAGAACTGGAGAGTTGAGGTGGAATCATCGATAATGAAGTTTGATTGATTTATAATGTTGAGCTCAAGTGGACTGAACGATGGTTCCTCTAGTGATTAGGGAGAAGGCATTTTTTGCAGTAGATAAGAATAATGTGATGAGCCCTAGAAATCTTAATCCAATGTATTAATTTCTTCAAATATATTTATAAATATGTAAAAATTAGAAAATGCACTTCATTTCTTGATAATTCCATGTTTTAGCAAATCATATGATTAAAAAAATAATAATCCATCTTGTTTATATGGGCAAAATTATAATTTTTAAATTTTATATTTAAAAACTCATAGATAAATCTATTAAGCTTGAAATAAAGGCAAAAAAATATGAAATAGGAGTTAATTGACGAAGGCTGTAGCAAGTCATGAAACAATATTAAGCACTTACATTATTGTTTTTCATAAAATCCTCAAAATGGGAACTTCAATTAAAAAAAAAAAATACATTTAGAATTGAATCAAATGAAATTGTGCGGATTGATTCGAAAAAGAACCAAGCTACTGTATAAATATTTCATATTATCAGGTCTTTCTCAGGGACATCATTTCTTGTTTTAAGCAGAGGTTAGACCACAAATCATTAAATATGGTGATTACTGATTGGTGATATGGAAGTTAACAGAAGATGACTTTAGAGGGATTATCAATGTCAATTCATCCTTAATAACACTTCTAATTTGGACACCGTACTCATAACATCCAATCTATACAATAAATTATGTATAACAAGTAGAATTAGGATATCTCATCAATTATACATGTCACATGAAATTTCTCTCATTTCCACTTAGTATTAATAAAAATATTGATAGTATTAGAATAAGTGTCATAGAGCCAATCAATTATTATAAAATTAATTCTTTGTAATAATATTCATTAATCAATAAAAGACATTTTATTCTATATTGTGTAAATCATATTCATATGTATTGATATATGTCTTTAGGATGGTAGAACTATGACAAGGATATCAAGTGTTTCAAATTTCATAAATATATTAATTGACTTTAATTATAATAATAATAATTAATTTAAAATAAAAATACCACAAGGGGTTGTTTGGATACAAGGTTGGAGCATGCCTATTCCTCATTAGAATATGGTTTTGACACATGCACTATATAAGTGCAAAGTGTATTAGAGAATGAATTAATTCATTCATTCAACCAAAGAAAATGAAAAAAAGAGGCAGCTCATTTTCTCTACTCCTCTCACGTTTGCCCTCCATTTTTTAATCAAAGATTTTTCTTTGATTTTGTTTTGATTCTTGAAGCCAAAGAGAATCTAGTAAATCCCTCTTTGGTTCTTCGAATTGTCTTCGTGTGGATCACCGTTCGTTCGATCCTATTCTTGGATCGATAGCAAAGTAGATTCAGAGACATTTGAAAGAGCCTCCAAACGTGCGTAAGATCTCTGATCCTTGTCTGGATTAATGTTACATTTGTTCTTTTCAATTTAAGCATGTAAAATATATACATATCAGACCTTGATCTTGGGTTAATCAAAGTAATCGATGGAAAAAAAAAATTCATTTTCCGCTGCGTTCACCCCATCGATTTACTTACAGTGGTATCAGAGCCTAGGGCCTTAATTGTATATATTTTAATAGTATTTTGATTGATTAACTGAATTGATTGCTAGATATTGCATGTTTGGTTTATTGATATGTTAATATTGCTTAAATTGATTAACTGATGTGTTGGATTTGTTGAGGGATTCACATTGGATCGTTTTTGTGATACACGCATGAACAATAATTTGGAAATTGAGATTTGCACCACGACACAGTTATTCTGCGTTGCGGCGTAGAGTTTCGTAAACCAAGATTACGTAAATGCGCTGCGACGAAATAAAACTTTGCCACAACGTAATTGTAGGAAAACGTTGAGCAACTGTAATCGCGCATTTGGGCCGCAGCAAAACAAAACTTCACCGCGGTGTGATTACGCAGTGTGATTGCACAATCGCGCTATTTGAGCCGTGACGAAATAACACTTCGCCGTAGCACAAAGTCATTGTCAAATACAAAATGCGCATCTGAGCCGCGGCGTAATAAAACTACACTGCAACATAATTACAATGATGTAGTGTGCCGAATCGTAAGATTGCATGATTGCGCCGCGACGTAACAGGAATACGCCACGGTGCGAATGCATCGTCAAAGCGCGAGTTGCTAGTTTTACATTGCGATGAAATAAAACTTTGCTGCAGCGCAAACATGTTCCTGCTATGCGCCGCAACGTGATAAAACCATGTTACAGCGTGAATGGTGCTGTAGCATTTTTAATACTGGATCGATGCATAATTCTGCAAATCCAATAGGGTAATTTTTATAAATCAACCCACCAAATTTAAAATTGATTGTTTTGAATGTATGCAATAATTCTTGTTTGAAAAATTGCATGGTGCCCAGTACATGAACCTTGGACCTACGATGAATGTTTTAAAGTATTTTGGGGTATGTATGATTGTAATATTAAATAGAGATTGTGTGCCCTGCCTTTCTCTTACCTTCTCGATGTACATTATCTTCTCATCTCATTCCCCTCAAATGTAAATCGAGGTTTCTAAATTTATTGATGTAAAATTAGTGTAATAATTAATTTCACTGTAAATTTAGTATGATGTATTTTGTAATGTACTTGAAGACGGAGCAAAGACGAGACAATCATACTTGAAGACTCAAGATATTTATTGCAGGACCCCTAGGTGACCCACCGGTTCCTCTAGGCTCAAGGAAATTGGTTTTAGTTGGGCCATGTACTGACACATTTATATTTTGCTTAGAATACGTGCTAAGGTTGAATGCTTCACAACATGTCAAACGATGTTATTCTAACAAAGATAATAAAACTGGCGAGACGTAAAATAAAAACCCTCAAATAAAGTATATTAAGTCATATGTAAGCCTTCCATAACCATGGGTTTAATCAAACCACTGTTCGTCGGAACCTTGTTCGCCAAAGCCAAGGCTGTTAGTAACTGACCGAATTCGCGCAGTGGAAAAACATAATATTTAAAACGAATCAATCAATTACATGAACCAAGATCCGAGTACGAATTATAACGTTTTCATGCATAAACTGAAACGTAAAATAAAACTGTATTAAAAACAAATCCATACAAGGATTTAGTTCATACCGACGTTTGGAGGCTCCTCCGAATATCTCTGATTTCAGACATGAATACTATTCATTGACACTGTTCACTGGTTACTGTTCACCAGTATTGTTTACCGTCTACTGTTCACGTGATTCTTCGCTAATCGATCCAATGTAGGATTGCACTCACGGAAGTCCACACGAAGATAATTCGCACAACCCTTGATTATTTTGCTAGAACAATCAAGGGCTTCAAAAATAAAGAAAGAAGAACAAGAAAAATTTTCTTCTTCACACAAGAGTGTAACGTGAAAGAGAGAGAGAGATAGGGTGGCTAAGGTTTTGGATTGAATGAATATATCACTTTGTTTTAATGCAACAATTAAAACCTTATTCCACTTAGGAATAGTCATGGGCTCCAACCCTAGTTCACCCTTGCAACCAAACACACCCTTTATGGTATGTTNGTTAATTGGTGGGTATGTTATATTAATATGTTTGGTTGGGAGGAATAAATTGGTGGGTATGTTATTTAAATTACTGAATTGTCCTCTAATTAAATATTATTATTATATTATTTTTAAATATTGATTATTATTTGTATTATGTAACCCCCCTGTATTTAAAAACTTAGCAAAAACAACCCCGTAATAAAAGTTTGGAAAATCAACAAAGCACCCCCACCAATCCAACCACTGCCAGTCGTCAGCAGCCAGTAACCTAATGGCGCACGGAAGGTAGGAAATGGTCTTCGTGCGCCGTATGGCCATTTTCAACCGGAAATGGCTAAACGTGATAGATCTGGCCATCAACGGCCAAATTGATGGTCGTTGATGGCCACAGACGTGGCTGTTAACCGCCATCGATCTAGCTGTTGACTGCCAAATCGACGGATCTGGCCTTTGACGACCAGATTAGATCTGACCGGAAATGACCATATTGGCGCACGGCGACCATTTTCGGCCTTCTGTGCGCCGTTCCGGCGGCGACGGTGGCTGGTCGCAGTGGTGGTTGCCAGCGGTAGGCGGCGGCAGATGGGTGGGGGTAGTGGCTTAGGTGGGCTGCAATTTGTTTTGAATTCAAGGATAATTTTGTCCAAAAAGTTAATTAATTGAGGTGAAATAGTAAAAATCATATTCATGTAAATAAATTTAAAAATAAGGGCGTTATTGTCCTAAAATTTTATTAATAAGGGATATAATTGTAACAAAAAAAGATAACCCTAGTAATCTTAGAATATCCAAAAAAATAGAGGTAATCAAATTACCTCCAAGGGGCGTTTGAATCATATAATGTTTTTTTATCTTAGTAATAAGATTATCGGAAAGAAAGATTACCTTGTAGATTACCGGGTTTAAATTATTATTATGCTTGGTTCAATTGGGATGTATTAATAATTAATGTGTTTGGTTGATAGTAATAACAAATGTCCTGAAATAACTTTTACTAAAATGCCCTTTAGATGATTATTATATATAAATAATTAAGGGCTTGTTTATTTTATTATTTGAAGCCGTATTCTTTATCCTATTCCCAAAATACTTATTTTTTTAATTATTACTTTTTTGTTTAATTATTTTGGGAAATACTATTCTATTTTTTTAATTACTTTTAGACCCTTAAGTTTACTAACTTAATTAAACACCCCTAGAAAAGAAAAGTTTAAAAATTAACAAAAATAACCCCACCCACCCATAGTTGTCAGATTCCGGCAACCACCGTCAGTGGTGGCCGAAATCTATCACAACGGCCTAAAAACGACCGAAAACGGTCGTTTATTCACCGATCTGGCCTTTTCCAGCCAGATCTGTGGTGGATCTGGCCAGAAAAGGCCAGATCTGGCCATCAACGACGGCCAACTCTTGGCGGTCATTGATGGTCAACGACGGCCAACTCTTTGGCCGTATTTGACGACCAGATCTAGCCTTTTTCGGTCGTCGATAGCTAGATCTGGCCTTTTCCGACCAGATCTTTGGTGGATCTAGCCGGAAAAGGCCAGATCGGTGAATAAATGGCTAGATTTGACCACTCTGAGTCGTAACGGTAGATTCCGACCAGATTTCGGCAGTGGTGGCCGGAATCTGGCACTGTGGTGGTGGGGGTGTTTTTGTCATTTTACAAATTGG